CCCTCCCCGCCCCCCCCCGCCAGCAGCCGCGCGCCTTTGCCTTCCCGCGGAGCCCCTGCCCAAGGCGAACCTCCACCTAGCTGCCCCGGGATGGCTCCTGACGGAGCTGCCTTCAGCATTGAGCTTCCTCCCTTGCAGGCTCGCTCCTTCCTCCTCCCCACCCAAGACAGGACAAGCTAGGGAGCTCCAGGGCTGGGTGTGCTTGCTGAGCACCAACATAGGTGCTGACACCCAACACTTCAGCCAGCCCAGCCAATAGGTGCGTGACGCTGATCACTGGTAACACATCTCAGAGCTGCAGGTCCAGGACAGACGTAACCCAAGCATCCAAAACACAAGAGCTACTAGGTGTAGAGCACGTTGGTGCTGGCGAGAGCAGGACATGGCCACCGTCCCAATGGCAGTTGCCCCATGGACCCTGGGCTCCCGTGGACCCTGGGCTCCCACAACCCTCAGTAACCCCCCCCCCCCCCCCCCCCCCACCAGCGCCACAACGGACGCACGCCGAGCAGTGACGTATCCTTTGGAGCACGTGTCTAGGGATAGCCCTTAACTACCCCTCGCTGCTTGCAGCTGGCTACGTGACGCCGTTGGTGGAGGCTGAGCGCATCTTGCCTCAGTTGCTGCGCCCGCTGGAAAGCTCAGTGTAGACCAGGCGGCACGGCACACCGAGAAGGGAGTCTCACAGTGATGGCCCCAGGGGTCTGTGTTGCAGCTCGTTTTCTTCCAAAGCATCTACACGTCACCAGGGTGGCTTTTCAGAGTGAGATGCCCCAGTTGGCTTTTGCTAACTGCACGTTCTTTGTTTTGGAGGCACCCAACCGAGATGCAGGGTCCCAGCTGCAGCACGCAGCCTCACCAGCAATGAGTGGAAGGGTTCTGTGACTGTTCACAGCCCCACAGAGCATCAAGCACACGGGGGAAAGCACCGTTCCTCGGCACTTCACGCCAAATTAGAGATCGGCCTTCGACGCTGCTCCCCGGCTTGCACCTATCTCAAAGGGCTACACTTTTGCAAATTAGAGAAATTAGGTATTGGTGGCATTCACACACACACAAAAAAAAGCCGATGAGGAAATCAATTGTACATTCCAAACCAGGTCTGCAGCTGAGCTGTAAGGAAACACAGAACAGCAAATATTGCTGCTCATTAAAAAAGCACCAGCCAAATGGCTCGTCGAGTGAGCCGGGGTCCTGCAGGAGGATGGTAAACCTGCACGAGGATATCGTTACAGGCTGCAGGAAAATGCATCCACACAGAGGGCAGCGCTGGGGCACATCGCTCTCCTTTACTTGCCAGTGCCGGACTTTGCACCCTAACAAGGTCATAATAAATAGCTTTGTCAACAGATATTTGCTGTCTGCATGGGGAAGGGAGCACGGTGCTCCCATCCAGGTGTCGGAAGGAGGGTTCTCCCATGGGTATTGACCCAATTTTCTGCTTAGCTCCTGGCCCCTTGCCTGGGCAGCAGCACCCTCCTCTGGGTGCCATTCCCTTCTGCATCTCCAGCCTGCACACAAGACTCCAGCCTCATTCTTCGTTACCCACTGAACGATTTTGACCACAACTTTTTGAAAACAGATTAGTCTGAAGGAGGCATTTAGCATGGAAAAGCCTCAGGCGGAAAGATACCACCTCCCTAGACTTCAGGGGGTTTCTAAAGGGGAAGCTCCCCAGGCAGGGACTGCCGGGGCCCAAAACTTCCGTTTCTACACCCAGGAGAGCATCGGCAGTGCTGCTCCTGGGCGAGGCACTGGGGAAAATCGGGTAAGCTTTGCCTCTTGGGGGACGATCCTGCTGCTCTCCCAGGGCTCCCGCTTCCCTGGGAAGGATCCTGCGATATTTGCCACGTGCTTTTCTCGCCAGGGCCCAGAGCCTGCAGCTGGGTTACGTTAAAAAAAAGAACTCCCAAACAACATCTGAAAATAAGCTGAGGGCAAAATCCCAACAGGAGACTTTTCCCTCATCGCAGAGCGAGCCAGCGGCGCAGGGCTGGGAGGATGAGCCGAGGCAACTCGGCTGCTTTTTAAAACACACTTTGCAATCGCCCACCACTGCTGCCCCATTCGGGAAAAGGCAAACATTTAGCACCGAGCGCCTTATTTAGTGCAACAATCACTATTTATGGACCCCCAAAATGCAACTCGACACACAGATATCCATTGCAGAGCTGTTAAATCCCTTCCCCTCCATGGAGAAACGCGGCCTCTGACTCGCGCTGGCGGCTCCCACGGTGCTGGGCTCTGGCAGCAGGCAGGAGACCGTCACCTGTGTCCAAGCGGCAGGGAGGGAAGGAGGAGTTTAGCCACCGTCCGCAAAGAAAAGCAATCAGGCGAGAAAAGTCAGCTGGCAGACCAGCAAACTGCCTAAACCCGTCCGATACGGCAGACAGCCCAGGCTCGAAAGGAACAGAGCACGAGCACTTTCCATCTTCGCCGTAGGAGGTCACATCACTGGCAGCGGCGCTTGGTCCCTTTCATCACACGCAAAAAAATCCCGCCGGCCCTAGCTGAGCGTTGGATCGCAGCTGCAGGGCTGCAAACACGAGGCTGGATGAAGCCGCCTGTTCGCTCCAATGTGCGCGGGGGGTGATGGAGGGCGAGCGCGGGGGCGGCAGGTGCCGTCGCTCCCTCTTCCCGACGCTGACGGCCGCTGTCCTCAGCGGCTCTGCGTCACATCCAACACCTCGCGAGCCTTTTACTCCAGGTCCTTCAAGAGGCTGCCCCCTGTGGCATTAGTACAGCCAATATGTAAGGGCTGGTACCGAGCACGCTGACCTCCAAGGACCAAACCGCTGAGCCTCAAATACAGCACCATCTCCTCAGGCCACCTCTGCTGCCGGCTGATTTGCAGACTTCCACAGCCTTTATACGTTACATGGGATTAACTCCAAAGGCTCATATCAGAAGCAGCTACGAGACGGAAAAAGCAGTTTCTGCCTATTTCTGTCACCTTTTAGGTGAACGGTTCCTCAGACGCTTCCATGGGTTTTGGTTCAAAGCGCAGTTCGTGAGCCTGGCTATACCTGTACCCGCGGCGCAGTGCTGCAGCCCGACTCCCCCAAGCAAGGGAAGGGACTTGCTCCCTTCGACCACAGCGAGCTGCGTGACACCAGCTGACGCCGTGTCCCCACACCCCCTCTATCAAGGTGGCCAGTGACAGGCAAAGACCTTTGGACTCACTGCGCTGCTGCTCTAGACAGAGGTGCTCTAGACCTGTTTCTAGGTGCTCTAGACCTGTTTCCCCAGGGAGCTGCCCGCGAGCCGCTGGCTGGCTGCTCTTGGAGCCTCCCCCAGGTCACTCATTTACCCCAACTTATGAAATTCAGTGGGGATAGATAAGGAGAGAGCAAGCAAGAATAACAGCTATGGAAACTGTGATTAGGCAGACTCAAGAAAGCGGGAGCATATTTTTCAAGAGCAAATAATAAAATATAAAGTCACAAAACATCAGCAGTGGGAGGGCCTTCAAGAGAGCACCAGTTCTAACCTTTTACCCCTCCTGGGCAGAGCATTTGTCAAAAATGTTATTAAAAAACATCATACTTGGGGATTTCACATCCTGCTCCAGGAACCTATTCTGGGCTCAGCCAGTCTTGCTGTCAGAAAGGTCTCTCCTAATGTTTAAATCTTCCTTATTGCAATTTAAACCCATTTATCCTTGTCCTGCTCTCAGTGGACACAGAATAAATTTATCTTCATCCTTTCTGCAGCAGCTTTTCACATTTCCAAAAGCCAAGGATGACTCCTGCAGCACTGCCCATGCTAGCTCTGTTTTGTATTTATATGTGCACGATGCATGCGTGAGCAAGTGCCAACAGGGACTCTTTTCTTAATTATGAGATGGAAATAATTATCTCAAAAATTTGGGGTAGGGAGCATGCAAGGCTTTACTAGAGCAGGTTTCTTCATTTTTTTCTCCTGAACAAAAGTCACAGCTGCAAGACAG